CCCATCAGCCTGCTGTTGCTCATTACTGTGGTCAGGCTTGGTGTCGCCCATTTTACTAGTAGGTTAGACCTGGTTCATGTTTGCCTGGTGTTGGCCAGTACTGGCTGGGCTTGGTGTTGCCCATTTCTGGTCCGGCCTGATGTAGCCCATCAGCCAATTACCGTGGTCAGGCTTGGTGTCGCCCATTTTAGGTTAGACCTGGTTCATGTTGCCTGATGTTGCCCAGTCACGTAAATGGTTGCTCATACTTAATGAAACCAAAATGCCTTGTTTCTGGTACCCAGAATAAAGCAGTCCTCTGACACTGTGGCATAAAGTTATTGATTTGCCTCACATGTTCTTTCATTTAGAATCATCAGTCTGAGTAGAAACCCTGATGTACATGTATGTATGTGTATTAGACTGCTCGTGAAGGTTACATGTAGTGCTTTACCAAATGCGAATATGACGTCAACTTCCATGTATCAACTTTCTGTCTACTTTTATGAATTACCACCAGCATGAGTCAGTCATCCCTGAGCATGACAGCTGTAACATCTTAGTCCCAGTAGGTATAATCTAAGAGTGAAAAGAGGAAGACCAAAAAAGTTTGTTACTGGAATCTGAAGGGGGCTGTGCGCAGTCCAGTGTACAATGTTCATGGGCCCTTTGGGACCTGCTTGAGGAGTGGCCCAAAAAACACCCTATCACAGCTTTAAAAAAGTGTATTTCTATCCCACTGTCATGATCCAAATGTAAACTGCTCAAGCTCTTTATTTCAGACTCATCATCAAAGACATTTACCCTGTAAATTAAATGCACTGTGTCATTCTGAAAAGCAAGTTAGTTTTTTTTAGGAAAGTGGGATAAAAAATTTGGTGGAGAAAGATCAAGAAGTCTTGGAGTCAAAAAAAGAATTAATTAAAAAATATGACATCAGGGGTCACTTGGTTTATATGTAATTCCCAGTATTACATTACCAAACTTATTTTCGATGTTGAGGGCAAATTACAAATAAAGACCAATTCCCGTCATTCAGGGACACAAGATGGTGTTCTTGATCACTGATGAAAATATTATAGATGCTTGTAACCTCTCTCATCAGATTAACACTGCCCAAGGCCTGTTATATTCCTTTGAGTTATGACGGTTTTGATTGAACATGTCCTTATTAATTTAATCAGCTACAGAAAAGAGAATGGTATACCGTAGCTTTAAAGAACTTGTCATCAGCAACTTCGACCACAGCTGTACTTAGTGCTTCAGCAGAGGAAATGGGGTGTGCGCCTGTATCTTCACCCTGCAACACGCCTTACTGGACCTCTAGTGCACTCACAGTCAGTCACTGCTTGCCAGATGATCCAACGATCAATACCCTTCGTCTGTACTCATTAAGGTTGCTATGGTAACCCAGGATCTGTTGATCCTGGGTGTGCATACTTGACCTGATATGCTCGGGTTAAAATAAAAATCCCACCTTTTCCATGAGTAAAAATAAAAATCTCCAATTCAGGTTTTAAAAATGCATACTTTTCATGAATATTGTGCTGTTGATCTTTAATATATCTTTAACTATTAATAAACTAATTTTTGAAGAGATGAAAAGTTCCTTTCATCATTTGTTCCTGACCAATTTAAGCAGAATGTTATGGCTTTCTTGGTTTTTTATGTAAGATCAATAATATCACTTGTGGAAACATATATGTATCAAGAAGTATTTATTTTATTTTATTTTATTTTATCTTATTTTATTTTTGTTTTTTTTAATTTAATTTAATTTTATTTTATTTCATTTTATTTATTTTATTTCATTTCATTTTTGTTTTTTTTTTTCGTTTTTTTTATTTTTTTTTATTTCATTTAATTTAATTTAATTTTTTTTTTTTTGGTTCTCAAGTTGAACAATGCTGTCTGTAAAAATATCAGTAATTTACCCAGTGTTGTTCAGCAGCTCACGTTTTGCATATTTAATTTACCTATTCAGATGATGACTGTTTGTTCAATTGATTCACCGAACGTGACTGATTGTCTTATACAGATACTGCTTGACATACTCTGTTGCTCAAAATTACGGTGATTGGATATACAAAAATTACCCTGCCATTCTTTCCTGTTTCCCACAACAAGAACAATCCATCCTGAATGATCATAAAAAGATAAGTTGTCAAATTAGCTTTCATTGGGTTCAATTTTCTTCAAACCACTGGTTCTTTTACGTGCATTTACTTCTGCACCCTCATGAAAATAAACTGTGGATCCTGTCCAGTTAAAAAAGATCAAGTGTACATATACGAAGACGTGTTTCTATAGTTCTGATACTTTTTTTTTCATTCGGAGATCTCCTTTTAGTCAGAGTGTCCATCAAACCTCGGGCTGTGAGTAGATGTGCGCTCCCACTGACGGTGTGTGCATGAAATGATCAGTGCACATATCACTTTGCATTCGACGGCCGTGCGGCAATCGGCCAAAGCTACGCAGACCGTCAGTGGTTTTGCCTCGAATAAATGATGCATTATGATAGCATTTGTGTTGTGTGTTCGCTTGTGCTTGTCACTCGGGCGCCGGCGATTGCTGAATCTGGCCGAATGGATATCGCACACGTGTGCCAACGGAGGCTTGGACGGGGGTTCATTGTCTCACTGAGGCTGTGTGCAGGGAAGACATGAGTGGCTTTGACTCCTCACAGACATGAATTACTGTGCAGGCAGGTGGTGGGGTGTGTTAGCCAGGAAAAAGGAGCACATACATATGTGATGCTGATGGGTGGTAACTGTGTCAAGTTGATCAGGCTGGTCTATGACGGTGAGTTGATAGATGTACGGTGCCTCCATTAGTTATAATTTCTTCCTTTTATAGGTATTGCAGTTTTGTAACTCATTGATGCAGCTGTTTGAAAGTAACTTGCTCAATGTCTGCGCCTTGCTGTTGCTGTAGCAAGGGATTCTACCATATTGCCTGGTAGACTTTTGGGAGTTACTTTTTTAAAAATTATCTTGAGAGAATTCTGCTGCAGCATCAATGGTGCAAAATGTTTTACACACCAGAAATGCTGGATTCTCATTTGATTTCATTCAGTTTTTGTTTATTTACATAATGTGTGCTTTTTTGTTAAATTAATAGAGGGTAGTTAACCTTAAAATGCCACGGTCAGTTTTGCCTGGAATTGCCTGAAAGTGTTGTAAAAGAAAGTGCTTTTCCTGGAGGATTTGAAGAGTGACAGTGACAAGAGGCTGTCATGAACTAAACCAACCATTCGGCCAGACATGCAAGGCAGGTTCATACTCCCAAGAGAACCAAAAAGAGATTGCGAATGCAAATTGGAAACTACTTATTTGTACTGTAAATTCACTGGAGTTAAACACATGTTCAACCTGTCAGGCGTCTCGGTGAATGTTCCTTAATTTCACATTTGCTTTGCATTTGCATAAAGAATCTGTCTTTACCTGAATATAAAAAATTCTGCCCTGTTGCGATATTGTTTTATATGCTGTCCTTGTATTCAAGACTAATCATTGCCAGAGGTTATATTCGGGAAGAAAATTCCTGGGATTGTACATTTCTTTCGTAGGGAATCATTCTATTTCATGATGTGCTTGCATCAAGGAGATATTAATATTAATTACAGGTTTTTGCCCTCACTAGTTAGCAGGAAGTTGTTATACCAGAGTCATCGGTGTAAGAGGGAAACCTTACTTTAAAATTAAAATAAAAAAATTAAAATTAAACTTTCCATGTCCCTTTTCCCTATTCATTTTCCCTGTCACTGATCCGTTTACATTGCCAGGAAGTGTAGGCATACATGTACATGTATCTCTTTCAAGGTGATCAGAGCACTCAACAGTAACAGACTGGCAGTTTGTAAATATTACAGGAGTCAATTCTAAGTCATTTCCATGGAAACTAGTGACATTTTTCCCTTCTTTTCCTTTAGTTTTTCTTCCCATTTCTTTTTCCTCTTAAACAATGTCACCCCCCCCTGCAAAATCAATACCTACATCCCACCAGTTAAAATTAAAGATCCACCTTCCATTTAAAACTAATGAGTTTGGAATGGGCTTTGCTTCGTCACTGTATATTCCACAGATGCAAGTTGGATTTAAGTAATAACCAGTCTTTGCCAATTCACAGCCAGCAGTACTTGTCTGTTGTTGAATGAGTCAAAAAAGTATGTCAAAAAGAACAAGCAAAAGAAGAAGAAAAAAAAAGGCTATGATGTTGACTCTTGACCCACAGAGGCAACATGAGAAACCATGTTGCCGGTCGGCAGGCTGAGGATTGGCCTGTCGTTATCCCCGGCTCCCTCATGTCTGAGTCCTAAATAAATCAGAAGCTAAGATCCACTCGATTGGCTAAGTGTTCATTATTGTCAGGTGTTACTTTGCTATTAAGTACAGGCGGAAGGCTTTCATTCCAAAGTTCCCAGGGGCTTGACGACGGAAAATCAGACTCTAAAATCATCACCAAAGCATGAATAAAATTTGCCTCCTAATAGTCGCTGATCTGTCCAGGAGATTAGTAGTAGCTTTGGAGGGGTAATTCTTACTGGTTCCCAGAGGCATTTTTCTTTTCTTTTTTATGAGTATGGTGCCTCTCATTTTTATCCATAATTCATTTCTCATTCAAGGTTGAGTCATCATTTGAAAATGAATTTTTAAAAGAAATCTAATTGCATATTTGATTGGAGACTTATCATTGTCAGTGGTACATCTATACATGTACATATCCTTTCTCATTGAAACTCTGTACACGTCCACTGCTAAATTTGGCAACAAGACATGTTTGACCCTTGTAAAGGAAAGGTGCATCACATTTTGAAAAAAACAGTTGACATCAGCTGAGTTGAGCCTAAACTCAAAGAAAGATTTTCAAGACCAACACTTTCCTGAGTCACTTGAGTCACTTACTGTATGTCTTTTAGACAGGATTAATTTGATCACTGGGTTTCTTTTTACATTGAGAAGTTGAAAGGCCCCAGTACATGAACTCATTATTTGTGCATTTTAATCGCATTTGAAACGTTTTGGAAAATAATTTTTTATGCAGGGAGTGACTTTGAGTCATATTGTTTGTCTTAATTGAAATATGCCAAAATTAAAAAACCAAGAATCTCCACTTTTGTGAGTAATCTTGTACCGACAATTCAACATTTCTGCTTTTAGGATAGAATGGAATACTTCTATCAAAATGTAAAATCGTTGCTTAAAGTCAACACTGTTGCAAAGAATTCAAAAGCTATCCTCCAGTTGACAAACCCCTCGATGTTTATCTCAACATACAAACAAACTGCCCTGTCCAGAATTGCAATTAGTGTTATAGCAGTTGTAATATTTCTACTTGATATCTGATCAAAGGAACGCCGATGTGCACCACATCAGAATTGCACGCTCCATCCATAAGCATAATACTTCAGTTGAGCCCTCTCTCCCTATTTCTGGTTGTCCACAGCAACAGTGCCCAGTCACGGCAAGGGTTGTGGGCCAGTCGATTGGAGACTTGTTGCACTGGATGGAAATTAGGGGAAGGTGAATGGATGGGAACTAGAGACCAGAGTTAATATTCACTGATGTGGAGACGGGATGACGGTTTACAGCCAGACTCGGATGAAACAAATAGGCCATGACCTCAAAGCAATGGAATATATTCGAATGTTAGCAAAAGCCTTTGGAATAATTTTTAATGTTTTGCCTTAAGGCCTAAGAATATCATGAGGATAGCAGGAGCAGAGAATGCATGAAATTGAATTATGTTTTTAAACATACCTAATTCTATTGTGGACATTTTACAGCTGTTTATATGGTTTAGGATTCAGTTTTCTATAGAATGTAAAAGGAATTTTATAAAAATGTTCACAACATGACATTCAAAGGGAGTACTAATTTTGTTTTACTAGAATCCTTAAATGTGACTCTTTCAGACTTCTCTTGCAAACTTTGCCATCTGACTGTCTTTTTTTATCAGATGAATTTAAAATTTTTAGAAGTTAACTATGTTTTCAGGGCCCCTCACATTTAGTAAACTCTAAATGTACATAGTTCATGTAAACTCCATGTGCATAATTGTATATGTACATACGTTCTGTATTTACAAAGCAATGCATTGGGAAATGCCAAGCATTTACAAAAAAAGGGGGAGGGGTCAACCAAACTGCTGGTGCCCCCTAGGCAAAGGAGTGGACATCTTTTCTAGATGTAAATTTCTGTCTTTAAAAGAGATTAAATGACTGATTGAGAAAAAAGATGTGTGTGGTTATTGTAAAAAAAAAAATTAAAATAAAAAATATAGGGACACATGCACCAGCTATGTCCCCTCTGGATCTGCTGCTGTCCGAGTTTATGAGATGATTCATAATAATTTTTTTAACTTCAATAATATCCTCTGCCCACAGGGAGGTTGGTCTAGTTCAGTGTAGGCTAGGTGGCACTGCAGAGCTGAAGTCCAACCGCCACATAAAATAACCTGTATAAAAAATCGCATAAACTCTAAAATTCATTTAAGAAAATGAGACTGTCTTGTGAACTATTCAGAAGAGGAAATAAAGTTGCACTGTAGCATCGTGATGGCTAGAAATGTTGAGTATGCTGTTTCTGGTTACATTTTCTAGCACTCAGAGAAGCTTGAATAGACGTATTTTCATCCACTGATTCTGTCAAGTGCTGGGACATCTGTGCTCTTGAATAAAATACAGAGTTTGGTTGCTTTCAGATTCTGCATATGGCGATGATGACGGAATTTGATGAGTTACGAGTAGTTGTAAGCGTGACGTTCACCACCTGAGGTCAGAACTGGACTTGGCAAATGCCAGAAGGTTACACAACAACCTCCCCTTCTCCCTCCACACCATTTTCACTTCTGCCGTATATTGATTGGCCGTGACAGTGAAGCAAGAAGTTGCAGTCCATTCCTTCTAGCGAGAAGCCGACTCACCAAGGGAATGAGCGATGATTCACTGGTGGAATGGACGTGTAAACAGGTCGCAGTTGATTGAGGGCACGGTCAAGAAATCGCAGGATGCATCGTCACCCGCTTGCACAGAGCAAGAGCAGAGGTCATGAGTGGATGCAACTGTAAACAGAGAAGCCACATCAAAGATTGCACAATGGGAGATTCGTGTTTACCAAACACTTCTGATGAATCTGGATAGTGGTGTATCAAAGAGTGGTTTGGACAGCCAAGGCATTCTTCATATAGTTGGTTGCTGGTCAAAGGTTTTGCAGTGTCAGTGGTACACAGATTCCAGGCTGTATCAGCAAGTCTGTTGGATTTCAGCCCACAGTGGCTACAAATATAAATCTACCATGATTTGGAGAAAAGATGGTCCAATTTTAAAGTGAAATGGGTCATTGAGGAACATTCTTGGGTATAGCAGACTAGTTTGACCAGCAAAAGGAAACTTCACATTTTGGAAACTAAATGTCGATTGTGGTCTCTCAGTTTGACTGTCTATGCGAGTGTGGTTGGAATCATGTTGCACAAGACGGCATTCAGAAGCAAACACAAGGCAAGAATGTATTCGGTTGCCTACAGCTTTATGCTGCCATGGATCTGGTCTGTAAACCAGCTTCTGTCGTTAATGGTACGGACAACAGATGAATCGCGTAATGAGGAGGAGGCGCCATGCTATGAGCGTTGCGTTATCCTTGTCTTCTCGTTGCCTGTGTGTCTTGCTCTGATCGTCATATTCTCACCATTTGCCTTATTTGGGTTCATTGCCAGGATATGTCTGGCTGGTGAGCGTGCCCCTTACGTGTATTCCTTTGCCGACACGCCAAGCAGAGTCAATGTCAACGAGGGTATATGGACCGATCTCTCGTCAAAGCACTTTTTCAAAATTGCTGTCATTGATACCTGCCTTATGCCTGAGGGCATGTCCAGAATGAACAACCTCCGGAATGTTCAAACGCGATCAGTCAATCTTGGCCGGCGGATTATTAACTCTCAAGTTCGACCGAGCCCCAGGATTTTTGTCCAGTCACCATCGGACAGTGAACTGAAGACCTACAGCATAAACCCACCGGCCTCCACCAACCCAATGAGTCTGTTCAATATGGGTGAGAGCCACCAATTAGATGTCAGCGACACTGATGTTTCTTGTGTGACATACACAAACATCCAACCAGAAGAGACATCCTTTTTTGCACAGGGTATCGACAAAATCAGGGATAATTGCGACGGCGGGGAACCAATTCATCAATGCAATGGAGACACACCTGTCACTTCAGATACACCTGCGAATGGAAACACTTTAAGAGGGTCCAAAGACAGTGACCAAGATGCAAGAAATGACCGTGAAGCGAGTGTGATTTCCGTGCCCGATATCGTACCAAAAGACATCTCAGATTCCCCAACACCATCAGAGTCTTTGGCTTCTACTCCAAATGTAGACTGCGGTATTCAAATTGAGTTCCCTCAAACACCTTGCCATGAACCCAAGCCTCACATACTTGCCAGTGGCTCATCATCCATTCAACAATCAAAGTTGCACAGTGAGGATAAAATGGGAGATGTCCCATCCCCGTCGGAGCACGCCGTCAACATCAACTTTCCAGCTGGGCTGGACTTTATCTGTTTCCAGGAGGTGTTTGAGCGCAGAGCTGCCAAGAAACTTGTCAAGACACTCCACCTTTGGTTCAGTCACGTCATCTATGACGTGGGCATGGATTCCTGGGGGATTAACAGACATTTTTTGAACAGCGGCCTGCTCTTTGCGAGCCGTTACCCAATCCTGGATGCATCATTTGAGTGTTTCAATGAGAGTCAGAATGAAGATCGTGCAGTTTCAAAGGGTCTTCTAATGGTCAAGGTAAGCATTTGTTTCTGGCATAGATGATCATCATGAGGAATTTCAATTTACAATGTAATTTCTAAACCTTGCAGATTCAGTTCTAGAAATACGTCAAATGAACATCTCCTCAATATTGACCACAACTTTGCCCAGTGCATTAGGTCACCTTCAGCTGTCACTTTGGCCTAAACAGAATTAGAGATGTAATCCACTCATCATTCAGGAGTCCATCGTGAGTCAAACTGTAATTAAGGCAATCACTTGTGAGCCAGTTTGGTACTTGAAAAACATGAGGTCATCTGAGAGCAAAGCACCTTACATCATTTTATGACCACACTGATAGGGCCAACCTCCCATGTGTACCGATGTTCTGGAATGACGTACGGCGCTTCATTTGGAGCATACCTGGTGATACGTGTACATGACATGAGCATGCCATTCAAATACTAGACTGACTCAGTGAGATATACATATACACTGATAAAGAAATGCCTTAGTCACAGCTCGGCAGCTTGTGTGATGACTTGATTGTAAAGTAGAAGACGTGTTTGATTTGAGGTGGTTCGTGATGACTTGATTATAAACATTCAGCAGAGCTTAGGCAAGTAATTACTGCTTTGGAGCAGCTGATTAATATGTGGCTTGTTTGTGAACAAAATTGTAAATGGTAATGAGTCATAAGAGTATTAATCATGGACCAGACTATGATTAAAGAAATTCAGATTTTTCTGCAATATTTGAGATTTTAATCAGTTTGGTTAGCTTGTTGAAACTATGGAGTAAAACCCCAGCATTTCATGTATGTGTACATGGACATGATACGTTATTTTGAACAGTTTAGGCCCTATGTACATTTTCTGCTGCCAATCTTCCTTTATTACACTCACATCGTTAAGGCCATTTTATACAACAGGCAAATGTGAAAGCGAAGCGAAGTTGATCATGCTTGAAAGATTTGCAGCAAGCTTTTGTTTGCATTTTGAAATTTGCATTTGTGTTCACTTTTGCACCAAATATATGAACTGGCCCTTAACCTCATAGGCCTACTTTGCTTCACAAAGCCATATATAACGACACAAAGGATTGAGTTCTGTTTCAAGCACAACCTGGGCCTACTGGTCGCGATAATAATGCCCTTTGACTGTGTAATGTGTAATCTTTCACTGTCAGTGCAAAATTTTGCAAGTTTTGAAGTGGGGGATGGCAAATGCATTTTATCATCGTGCCTCACGCTTTCTATGTGCTTAGTAATCTACTTGATGATACGGGTACATGTTAACACTGTTACAATGTGGAAGATTCAATCACTTGAAAAGGTCTTGAGGTCTGTGTAACCACTTTCTGCTCCTTGAACAACAGAAACATACCAAAAGTAGAAGGCCGTCTTTGGGGAAATGTAAATTTGAAATTGGCAATCTGCTTTGTCAATATAACCTGACACTATACTAACATGTCTTGTGCCAGTCGTGACAGGCATACGGAGTCAAAGCATAGTACATCTGGAGTCCTGTGGTCAGGGGGGGGGACTTTGCAACCAATGCAGCTAGTCACGGAAGGGGGCATGGATTATGTAAAAACTGCTGGCTAAGTGTGTGAATAATAGACATAAACGTTGAATAATGCATGTAAATCAGGTACTGGTGAGTTGTTTTTTATAGCAGTCGGAATTATTGCTTTAATAAGATTGTACAGTGACCAGTCCAAAGGGTTTCATGATCTAATAATGTGTATCTATGAATAAGGCTGAGATTGTATTGAAGGGATGCAAAATTTATAAACAGCCATGTCATTATTGAGTCTAAGTCAAGTCGCACAATTTCAGAAATTGAAGATGAACTTTTGTTATTTTTATCGTAGCTCAGAGATGCCACATTTACCAGTAGACAAATATGGGGACAATGCATAATATGCCATCAAAAAGAGCACAGGTACAATGGAAATCCAAGTGTCATACACTGTATGTGACCCATCGAAGAGTCAGATTTCGTATGTAGAGTCATATTTTGAAGGCTTATGACTCGTCAAAGGATAATAAAGCTCCATGTTTGTCTGCATAAGCATGGTGCAGATGACACTCGGCTCCCCCACTGAAAAGGACTGACATAGCATGCAGGCGTTATTTGCTCACATGACGACAAAATACTTGTAACTGATACTTACAGGGCCTAACCACTTCACACCAGGATCATATGTGTGCTCAAACCCAGTCGGTACAAACAACGCATGAGACATGAGTGCACGTTCGCCACCAGAGGAAATGGATACAAAGCCAGCTCATCATACATGTATGTCCTCAATGGAAAAAGTAGAGCACACATACACTGCCTCCAACCCTAACTGGCTAATTTTCAACATATAGAGTGTACCTGCACTTGTACCTTTAAGTTGCAGTACAGTCAAAAAGTAGGCATGTGCATAACTGATGTACATGGTCTGTGAAACTGTATGGAAATTGTAACCAACAGTGCCAAATATTTGTATGAATACTATTAAAAAAAAATAAACTAAGGCAACCATTGAAGATTTTTTTACAAATCCAAATTGGATTTTCAGTGGTAAAATGCACCCATTGCATTGTTAAATTTCTCAAAATGCGTCTAACGCTGAAGCACGCCACTGCCCCTTAAATAATGGCTGTGTTATTCTGCTGTATAATGCATAAAACAATATTCGGGAAACGTGGAGAATGGGGGAGGGGGGTTTAGAATGAAGGACTTCTCTCTTCACTGCGTGCGCCATTAGTTCTAGTTCATTGGTGCGTCCATTCACTTTGTTCAACTCCCATCAAATCCGTAACGTGATCTCTGCATTCTTAATCCTGCCACCCGCAGAGACATGTATCTGGAAAAGTCAAATTGAAATGAAAGAATTGATTATTTGAACAACAGATTGCTTCTGGGAACACGAGCTGGTTTTTTTCTGGGTTTACACTGTCCTATGTACAAATGCTAAACTTTCTTCAACCTTGAGGAATTTTCAAAGCTTCCACTGCAGGTATGTTTGCCATGTCAAAATAACTGTTTTAATACTGACCTGACTTCTATTACTAAGTCATCCTAGCTTCTATTTTTTTTTAATGAGTTAAAAGTGTGTTTTTACTTCAACTCTACTCATTTTTCACACTTATCATTCATAGTCTGTGGAAGGTTTTTTTCCTTCTGTTTTTTGTAAGATGTAAAAGTAGGGCTAAGGACCTTGCCCTAATTTGAGACACGTACCATCTGAGTAGATAGCGTGATGCTAAGTTTATTCAGCGTGGAATAAAACAACCTACTCCTACAGATTAGGTTATGGCAGGTTTTCTTGTAACTCTAACTCTGCCAAATCTAACAAGGCTCTGTGTGATTTCCTCTGACCCTTTGGGTTGGGTTAATAGATAAAAAGCAGTAGGCCTTGTTTCCTGGTCTTATGGACAAAAAAACTATTTCAGTTTAAGAACATGTGCATCTGTGTGTCACTGACGAGTCAACAGCAAAGGTTTCTTAACACCAGAATCAGGTTTGTATTACACCTTGAATATCATACGGATCAGGGGCTTTGTTTTCCTCTATGATTTTATCATTTCGTGGCTGCACCCTCCAAAAGACTGTTCTTTTCCATGCATTGGCAAATCCGTGGATGACCAAAGGGGAGGTCCCTCTTTCCCCCAAAGGGGCAATATGATGAAAGGTTATTTGTAGGTGGGGCAATTTAGTTTTCTTTCGTTCTCAATGCATTTTTAAAAACCCAAATTCAGCCTCACCCCTGAAAAAACTCGCCTCCTCCCCTCCAAAAATTTGGGTTCTGAGTCTTCCCTTGTTTTCATGTTAGCATATGTATGTTCAGATACACCCTCCAATCGTTCACCATTTTTGCATTAGTCGGTGGCTTGAAAGGATTAAAGAGATAGGTTGCTCTCTATGCATTCACAACATGACGATAAATTTTACACAATGCCTGATTTATCCAATAAACCAGAACACAGGCATTAACACTGATCTCTCAATGAATAGATCAAGTGCCGTTGCCATGGAAACAGAGAGATGGAAAAGGTTTAGGAGTGAGAGGTAATGGACTCGGTGCATTGGTCTGGTAATGAGCTGTATGGGGGATCTGTACAGCTGTTAAAATAGCTACCATCAGTTGGGTTTTTTAATCTGCAGTGGCAGGCTGCCGGAAATAATTCTGTGCTCTGACATCAGTACTAGTAATGGCTCCTGCCTCCAGGTTGAAGGAAAGAAAAAATGGCCTCGCTATGGCAACCTTTTGGTGATGCACTGTATTGTTAGTGACCCCTTTTGTACATTGGAATGTTCAAACCATCAACAACTCTTCTGGTTCTTGTTTTTTAGGCGTGATTGGATGACTTTGTCACATGAATCCATCTAATTATTGGGGCTTATTTCTGGCAGGTGCCTGCCTGGTGAAATATTTCTTTGTTAATTTGCTTTGCTACGAAATTAGCTAGAGTTACGATATCAAATTTAGTATATGCTCCTCGCCAGCATGAGTGATTGCCATATATTTTGTTCTTGAATCTTGTCATAATTTCTTACTGATGTGCAAACTCTTTCAAAGGAAAAAAATCTGTTTATAGAAATCTCTGTGATAAGAATCTTTGTGGAACAGCTCCCAAAACGCCTGTGTGCCAGATCTAGTTCACCACAATCAGACAACTCGGCCTCGTCCATTAAATGAATTCTGCTCCCAGACAATCTAAGATGGGCTCTGTAATGCCAAAAAAAAAGTTCTGCATCCTTTTACATACATGCAGCATCTGAGAAAGGGTAGGTTGGCAGGATGTTTCCTCATTTTTTTACGCTGACTTTTGCTTGCACTGAACTTTTTTGCCCCACATTCGAAGTACTGGTATAGACATGGTTTTTTTTGTTATTTCTAATTCCAAATTTTACCAAAATTCCCCCCAAAAGAATTGAGGGTCTCACCTTCAAAATGGGTAGGCCAGGAAACAGGAAGCATGTACCGGTACCTGTAACTGTTTTTTTTTTTATTGCTTATCACTCGCTTCCCCCCTTGTG